CCCTGGAATGATCGATATTTAACGCTAATGGCATTTTCTGAATTTGCAACCACGAGTTCGTTAGTTTATGCATGCAAATCGTAACAATACTTGTATCTACATATTTTCAAAGTTTCTTTTTTCAAGGGCCATAACTAAGGCAACACATCACTAGTCTGAAACGAATTCAAAAATAAATTAAACAACTCAAATTAATTAATAATAATTATGCCTCGATACAAAAAAAAGATGTAAAATCGACATTTCAAAGCAATTATTCATTTCAAGTCCTTCAACTTTGGCAAAAATTTATTTCTTAATCTGAACGAAATTAAGGGTGCTATGCATTTTCTCAGGATAAAACCATACATAATGTTTCAAGCTTACAGATAGATAAGGAAAATGGAAAATCTAAGGTTTCAAGTAGAAATGTTCCATCTAAAGAGGGAGGCGAAGGATACCAGGGGGGCATTGAAACTCAGAAGTCGAAAATGAACTGACAACGCCATGGCTAAAAAAGAAAAAGACAAACACACAAACAATTAAAGTACAAAAAACATAACATACTCAGCAAAACTGGGGGTGATCTCAGGTGCTCAGGAAGGGTAACATGTATAACCCCGCCACATTCTGTATGTATGTTTTCTGTCCCAAGTCAGGAGCCTGTAATTCAGTGGTTGGTGTTTGTTGCTGTTGTTTTTCGTTAATTTTTTTGTACAATAATGAGGCCGTTAGTTTTTCGTTTGAATTGTTTTACATTTGTGATATCGGGGCCTTTTATAGCTGACTATGCGTTATGGGCTTTGTTCATTGTTGAAGGCCGTATGGTGACCTATAGCTGTTAATTTCTGTGTCATTTGGTCTCTTGTGGAGAGTTGTCTCATTGGCAATCATACCACATCTTCTTTTTTAAAAGCAGTTCCTGCTACACACGTGGCACTCATCGTGTTGCTCATGCTAGTACAAACCATGTAACAAGTCTAATTCAGTAGGCCACATTCAGGGAAAAGGGGACGGGATTGTAGTTAAGACATTTGAAACCTATCCTCTATCATCTGTGAAACAGATATTCCATAACGGTCAATCAACTCTTGATGGCGTCCGTAAAACTTACGAGGGGGTGATTTCAACTTCACCACTTGGAACTCTTGGCTTAACAGCTTCTTTGTGAGCAGCAACCCTCTATCAAAGAAATCATGATTGGAAAATTGGTATTATTGTCGGCAAAATAGTCTTGGAGAAAATGGGTCAACAAAATAAGTCAAGTTGACCGATTAGTAAAAGTATCTGAAAAACTTGACTATCACAATATTGATCAAGGTCAAACAGACGTCTGATGTCCAGTCGTTTGTTTATGTGGTTCATATGTGTTTCTCGTTTCTCGTTTTTTATATAGATTAGACCGTTCGTTTTCCCCTTTGAATGGTTTTACACATGTAATTTTTATGGCCCTTTATAGCTTGCTGTTCGGTGTGAGCCAAGGCTCCGTGTTGAAGACTGTACTTTGACCTATAATGGTTTACTTTTACAAACTGTGACTTAGATGAGAGAGTCGTCTCATTAGCACTCATACCACATCTTCTTGTATCTATTCTAACGCTGTCTTTTCGGTTTTTAGGTTTATGCATTACAAATGATGCCGATGATTTTCACGTTTTTGATTGTTTATGAGGTGAAGATTTCTGCTCCGCGTTGAGTGTCGTACGTTGTCATGTAGTCTCTATCATCAAAGACATTTGGTCTCTTGTAGAGAGTTGTTTCATTGGCAATCTTACCATTATTTTAAGTTCCATATATTTTTTTAATTGAACGTCACTGATGAATCCTTTGTAGGGAAACGCGAGTTTGGAGAATACAGTTATACATCTTTCATGAATGTTTTAATTATTATCCGAGATACAGACCTATAACCACAAATACTTAAAATTGACCAATGAACAATGAAACTGAGGTCAAGGTCAGATTGCCACTTCTTGTCGGATATGTAAATCATACATAAATTAAATTTAGCTTATGTCGAGAACTTATGATTGATCGATGAATGACATAGTAAGGGCAGTGTCAGTTTACATGCAATTAGACATCTATATATTGCAATCATCCAATACAACCAATATTGTCCACCTATTGTATCTAAGATACCACACTCATTAAGACAAACAAATAAACCATAAAATGTATTAAATTTCAGACATACTATTTGCGAATAGTATGTTCACATTACAATCATTTCAGAAAATATACTTCGTCTACTATGAGATTATAAAAAAAACCCACCAAAATCTCATGAAAAATAAGCATCGACCAATTGCACATGAAAATAAGGTCAATGTTAGATAAACCCCGTTCAATATTCTAGTGAAAATAACAAGTCCTGCATACGCTAATTGTAATTGACCCATTGCTTAAAAATCATCAGAAAAAAAACGAACCATAAAAACAGAACATTGACAAAAAGTTAGTTGAAATCTACCGGTCGGACATGTGCACCCTACAATCAGCCTATACACAAACGAAACAACGAAAATTAAATCAAGGACAATTGAAAATTATGTCATTGAAACATAAAGCTTTAGTATGCAAAATTTGAAGCATTCGGATCTTCTTCACATCTGAAATAAAAGAAATATATACCAAAAGATAATGACGTCGGACTTGCATACCTATATTTTGCATTATGTTGCGCTCTTCTCAGGCGAAACTAAATGTATGTCAAAATTATAAATGCTCATAAGAACGATCTTCTAAAACTTTTCCAATGAATCATTTTAAACGTAAGTGAGCGGTAAATTCAGATCATATTGATCATACTAGATGGAGAGTTGTTACATTGGCACTCATACCACATCTTCTTATATCTAGTGAAAGAAACGAATATTTCATGTACAAATCATTTATAAAGTGAGTATGGTCTGTATTTAACTCCAAAAAGGGCATGGTGTTTCGAAGTTCAAAGTGAAACCTGCAAAAATTATACACATTTTTATATCGGACATAAAACAAAATCAGCGAACAAATAGCAAAACGGACCAAAAGCAACGGACAAAAAGAAAAAGTGTCGGACAAAAAGCAAAATTATCGGACAACGTATCAACGTGTTTTCTGTATCTTTGAGTACGATTATATCTTCGCTACAATAATGAAATTTTGATATTTCTACAAACATCTTCTCCAATTAATTTACCTTTCTTCAAATTATTCTTATCATCCTACTTATTTGAGGTTTTTATTTGTGGAAACCTTCAATGATATTTGGAGAGGATTCTATAAAATACAGATGTCACATTTACAGGTGTTATACCACCATTGTTTTTCTCCTATTAGTCCTTGTTAAATTTGCACTTTTCAAAACATTGTGCAGAATTTATATTTGTTTCAAATAAAGAAATACTTGGCATGAGTAAAGTTTTATCCTGTCCAGTACTACAGACAAAATTTCACATAACATTTCATTGCATATAAGAAAATAACCATCACTTAAAGTTATCCAATCACATTTTCACCCCTTTTTCCTGTGTACAAGCTTTAGTAACAGTGTGTCCTCAGGTTTCCAAAATATCTATAGAAACACCAATTAGAAAAATTGTGCTTTGAAACACCCAAGATATATGTTTATGAATCAGATATTTTTTACTGCAATGAAATGTGGGATTAATTTCATACAACTGTCAAATTCAAGGGAATATTTTTTTTCGACCCTTTTAATTTCCGTATGCAACCGGATGTGACGTACTGTGATTTGGTGGAATTACACCTGCAGCAATGATTTATTGAGTATATTTACACGTCCCCTCACGAAAAAAATGTTCCCGTGCATTCATTTATCAATTTGATCCCTTCCTTTTATCAAAATCTTTGATGAATGCTCATATAATAAAAAACTGCACGATAACAAGTTCGAATTCAAAACTTTAAATCAAAGTAAAACAAAATGCTCTTTGTGACAACATCATAGTAGGAAAATAAACGACAAAAAAAACGAATAAAAGTCTAGAGAAAAACTAAAGATGTATTACCACAAACCCAACCGAAAACATATATACCGTATAGCTACGTTAAACCAATAAAAATCAAGGATGTCAATAAATGTTATTATCAACGGTCAAAGTGTGAACTTAGTATCACAGTTTTCAATGAAAGTAGTCCCGGTTTGAGTTATCCCTAACCTTAACCCTTAATTATATGTATTAATACGTCTTTGATATTCCGCGCGAATTTTGAATTTATCAACCTACCAAATGGTGAAAAACTGTTATTCCCTTTGAAAGTAGTTTGGTGTATTTGATACGTTATGGATAGGATAAAACTTGAATACTATCTAGAGCATGCGATGTTGTATCGTAAGATTGGCAACGACGCAGTATGGGGAATTATGATTATTGTGGCTGGAATTTCTAAGAAGCAACACAAAAACAAAATGTCAGTTTTTAACAACCTCTGAATTTTACGTTGCTGATGAACAAGGTCGAGTATAAACAACTAATAGTTGCACTGATTTCCCCGAAAGCTGGTTAAAAGCGACACAAAATGTCACCTTGCCTTTCCACACTAACTGATAATTATATTGAAACATGATATCAAAATGCAGGGAGTGACATGCAATGCATTACTTATATATACGAAGTAAATTTACAACAACAAAACGCTTACATCTCACCGTTAGAAATGTATTTCGAGGTTATCTTTCTTGTATCACTTGGAAGTATTTATTCAGAGAAGTGTAATAATCCATTGATTATACGTAAGAAACAGCTTACATATTCATTTTTACACTGGTTTATTATTTTAACTGCATACATGTATGTTCTATATATTTTCTGTAATATGCAAAATAAGATTTAATTTGATCACTTACCTCGTGTTTTTCCTTTATAGTACTAAGTAATATTTCTTAATTTAGCATGCAAGAAATTCTAACACTTATTCAAAGTACAAACTGAAAATTGTGCAATTTGAGTATATTGTGTTCCTATCATGCGTGTAACAAATCAAATGAACGTTGTTGTGTTGTTCTGTTCTAGAGCAAACAAAAACAGAAGTCGATTTTTTATCGAACAGGCTGACAGCACTTCAAGCAAAACTTTCTTCATGTAAAGGTGAGTATAATTTTAACGTTCAAAAATGGCAGATCTAAACGTATATATTGATATTTAAAAAATGTATTGAATGTAAGCAACTCGTAGAGATATGGCCTTTTTTAAAATTAATCAATCAAACAATCAATCAATCAATCAAACAATCAATCAATCAATCAATCAATGTAAACTTGAAAAAAAAAGCCTTTGAACATTTAAGATCAACAACTGTATGCTAAAATAACTAACAATATGCATTTTCTAATGTAAAGCAGATATATCGACATGAACGTACACTGTCAAAAAATATAACAAACATTATCATTATTTGATTCAGAAACCGGAGGAAAATCGTATTATTATCATTCATTATTACACTGGTCACTCTTTGCATAGTTATATCCTGTTGCACTATAACTAGAACAATGCTCGCAGATTTTTTGTTGTTTTTGTTTCGTAATCCCCAACCGTTGTTTTGTTTATCTTAGAAAGAAGTTGAAATTTCTTATAAACACAAAGCAAACCCCAAAATCAATGATGACGTTTAAAGTGATTTCATATTACCTATAAAGGCTTCTGTAAAGAAGCAGGACGGGAGACGATTTATACACGTGTTATTTGTAAAATGTGTGTTTGACTGATTGCTGTGTAAAATTCTTACAGACAGGGACAATTTTATTCTATACCATTATATGTGTGCATATGCTTTTTAATATGCATATCTGTACACCATGCAATGGATAATCATTTCTATTTTCAGGGGAACCTCCAATTTCTTCATATACTGCCTTTACAGCTACATTATCTACAAATGGTGTAACATTGTCAAAAGGAAAAATTGTCAAATACAGCCGGGTTCTTGCTAACATTGGAAATTGTTACGATTCCGCTACAGGTGTTTTTACTATTAAAACGCCCGGTGTTTACTCTATCTCTGCTTCTATGATGACTCCTCCGAACAAGGGATCTCATCTTTCCTTAATGAAAAATGGACAGATTTTGGTATGGCTATACACAGGAGGTCCATATGACATGGCATCGCAGACAGTAAACGTGGCACTGTCAGGAGGAGATAAGCTTTGGATTCAAATGCAATCCGGGACACGTCTTCATGGAAATGAATTTTATAATCTGTTTACTGCAGCTTTGATAAAGCCCGGGAACTTTTGAAAAAAACTGAAGGAGTGACTCAAATATAATTTGATGAATATTAAAGAAATATTAACTATATTTGTTGTGTTGATAACTTCTATGTTAACGATTAAAAACTTAACACACGCATTGATGTGTTGGTTTCGTGCTTTTTGATTGATTGGTTGTTGGTTACATAACGTCCAGTGGTAAATATTTCATGCATGTTCAGGACGATAGTGTTTTATGTAACTTATACTTGAATAATCATTTTTTTTGCTGCGTGTTTGTTTCTACCACACTGCCTATAGGTATAAGGGGAGGGTTGAGACCTCACAATACATGTTTAACCCCGCCGCATTTTTGCGTATGTCGCACGTCGGGAACCTCTGGCCTTTGTTAGTCTTGTATTTCTTTTTTAATTGTGGTTCATTTATATGTTTCGCAGTTTAGTGTGACGTCCATTTTTGCTGAACTAGTTTACATTATTGCTTAGGAGACAGCTGAAGACTGACTCCGGGTGAGGGATTTTCTCGTTGTGTAAAAGACCTATTGGTGGCCCTGAGCTGTTTTCTGCTCTTTGATCGGAATGCTGTCTCTTTCCATTCTCAATTCTATTTATTACTAGATGTTTTGTTTTGATTCATTGATAAGACTACATGTTGATCAGCTTAAGTATACATCTTAAATGACGGACATGCGTAAAAAAAACACCAACGAGACAACTAAACAACTAAAATAGAATATGCATTTTGAACATGGTATTTTTCTATTAGTTGATTAGTAATTGGTTATAATCCAGCGGCAACTATTACATGAGTATTAACAACATGATTATTTTGTATGAAAATTCCATGCTAGAACTAAACCATCATGTTGTTTGATTTTAAGACATGTTCACAAGGTAACATTTACCAGGTAAAGCCAGTCAACTAAACTTTCTATTGACTCCCAAGAACTTGTCGGCAAGGAAAGCAGGGGACGCTTTTCGACGAATGTGGTCTCGCTCCGTTGGAGGTAATGCGATTCCCATGTTTTTCTCTGTAAAATGATACAATTCTTAAGTATAAGGAATACCGGTAGTTTTATGAAAACTTAAACGTATAATCTGAATACTATCAGATTTGCACTGCATTGTAAAGATTTTGTTTTGCATTGCTTAACATCAGGAATACCTTGATTTTATGTTGAAGAGAAACAAAAACTTGCAATTACAATAGATTATGTTTCAGGGAAGGGAACAGCGCTGCAAATCTAAAGTTTTGTGTTGCAAAGTTGTGTACAGAAAACTGACATTTGCGTCATTTAGGTTTCAATAGAAATACTTCTTTTCTGAGTAGCAATATACATATACCTGCAAAACTTTTTATATAAAAATATCACAATTTTTTCTTTTCAAGAGCTTGTGTTTGCTCCTTTTAAAGAAAAATACAGTCACTCACGCATTTACTGTTCAGTCAAAGTTATAACTAATATCATCAACCCCTGGTATTTTCTCTCAAATTTTAAATTAAGATTTCGGTTTCCATTACAAATCATTAGCCGATTGTTATCAAATGAGTATCATATTTTTCAATCCAAGACACAGCATTTAGAAGTAAGAGAAATTGTGTTTCGGTTAGGTTGATATGTCACCATGAGAGCTACCACGTTAAAAATCAATACTTCGATGAGTAAAACGGACTTTAAAGTACCATTGATATTGATATTTTTGTTTACAAAAAGAAAATTTCCTTTTCTGAACAGCACATTTATATCCCGTTTATCATGTTTATATTAGTATCTTTTAATAAATTTATAAATATTTTCTATTCGACAATGTGAACACAGAATACAAAATAGAGTAACTTCCTTGAAATATTCGAACTTGTCTGTTAGAAAATGGACGGACATATTGTGGTCTTATTACTTGCAAAATTCAATATTGTGCATCACGATCAGTAAAGAAAACTGGATATATTGGCCACTGTCCCAGGGATTCTGTAATTTTTGGCCAGTTATCTTTCCAATTGACTCGTTACAAATTGCTAGATAATTAAAGTATTATATACTAGTAGGTGTTAGACAGGGCATGCTTACGATTTTAGAGCAGCTGATAATATTTCTTCTTTTTATATCCACTTCCTCGCTCAAAGGCAATACATGAACATTGTCGGAAAATAGAGAATTTATTTGTACAAGCTTTAGCAACAAAACGGAAAGTAAGGCTCAACGAGCTTTTATCTTGTTTCGTAGCGAGTATAAATGCATGTAGAAATTGACGCGGTTAAACGCGAACCGCGGAGAGGACCCAAAATTGAACTGTTACGTATAAAAGACTTTATTTGTACATGTAAAAATAAAGATAAACAATATTAGTATATCAGTTACGTGAACAATAGTTGCAGGATAGTGTGTTTTATGTTTCAATTCACGTTGAATTATGGTTAAATAAGTATTGTGTTTGTTTGTAAGAGTCGTCATTCGACACCCCACAGTGTAAATACATGTAATGTAATACGACAAAATTAAAAATAGAATAACATGGTAGAACGAATATTAGTACGGAATAGATTCTGTATTTACGGAATTACACAAATACTCTGCCGAAATTTAATATTCATATTTCGCTAAAAGAGCACACCAGAAAAAACTCACTTATTAAAAATATCATCTTTAATTGAGTATACTTTTCCTTTGGACAACAAATGAATTTAAAGCTGACAACAATAACAGAATACAATATATGAAAAATTGAGAATCTTATTTCCTGATTCTACTTTTGAACATTTCCCAATCGTGAATTAAAGCACTGGATGATTCAACCCGATGTGTAGAGTATAACAGCCTTATTTTATCTGGTTTGTAGTCTGGTGAGAATCTACCCTCCATCTGTACTTTTACGCCTAAGGTGGCTGCAACTATTCCTATATATACATCGTATATAAATATATGTTTTATGAATGGGAGTGCTTCTTTCATTTGTGATGCTACATCCATTGAAATCATCATAGAACCGCCGCCTACATATTTAGGACAAAATTTGCATGAATAGTCTTCGTACAGAATATACCATTTTAAAACATTTGATCATTTCGGATATGCCTTTTCCCACATGTATCCTGCATATATGACTAGGCCTACCCGTTTACTTATATTCTGGTGTAATTTCATGAAAGTCAAAATTTATGGAATGTTGACTATGTAATCGTCGTCCACAAAAAGTGTATTGAGATACCTTGCAGTTTGTCACGGCCCAATTAACATCCATGGTTTTCTTCACGGTATTATGTCTGTAGACGTCGAAAAAATCTTCCTGAATTATATCGTTGTTTCATCTGCTTTCGGTTGCAATGTACTATTTCATGAAATCTAAATATCCTAGAATGAAAACGAGTCTGATAGACGGAGGCAGATCTTTCCCTTTTTGACTGTCATTTTGACCTTGCCAAGAACTTAGATTCTTGAAATAAATCTGAATTTCTTCTTCCGGTGTAAGGATAAGTGTTGTCGAAAATAGCGTAGGATTGTGGTCCTAGGAGTTCAATACAAAAGGTTATCACTATGACTATAACAGACGCGATCAATTTAATTAGCCATGTGCATGTACATACTGTAGAATAATGCATATCAATCTGGACTCTGTTTGGTATTCCTGAAAATATAATAAATACAATAAATCATGTACTGAATAAATTATTTAATGTAGATACATGCTAGTCGATGTGTGTTTGAGAGAAAGAGAACGAATAGGAAGTTAATCGTCTTTTTATGTTATTTTTTTTTAATTTTATTTGATCAATATTGAGCTGAACGTATCGGTCTAGTATGAAAGAAGATTGAGAATGGAAATGGGGAATGTGTCAAAGAGACAACAACCCGACCAATGGACAGAAAACAGCCGAAGGCCATCAATGGGTCTTTAACACAGCGAGAAAATCCCGCATCCGGAGGCGGGCTTCAGCTGGTCCCTAATTAAAATGTGTACTAGTTTATTTCACATTAAAAGGTAACATTTTCCAGTGATTGTTAAAACACCACACCATCAAATCAGCCTTTGAGCGTTTTTGATGAAGGTAAGTTCAGAAATGGGCTTAGCTAAGGACGCACACAATTAAAAACAGTGTTATTTTTATCATGTAGCTGCACATCTGAGAACTGAATTGGGAAAAGACATTGTGAAAATTAAAATGTTTAAATTGTATACCGAATGAATATTAAAGTTTAATTGCAATGAATGTGCGTAAAAGTTAAACATTGAAAGATAGAATAAATGTCAGGATGACTTTGAAAATACACATTTTGAACTGCTGAATATTGAAAATGAAATGAATATCAAAATAAGAATCAAACTAAGTCTTAGATAAATGATTTTTATTTATTAGTTGTTATTGGCTTTGAACCATTTGTCTATTACTGCGAGTACTCTCAGATCTGTACTTAGTGTCTTTTTGTCGTGGAATGTATAAGTACCCGTCAACGTCTGTGTTTTTGTTAGATGTATTTCTATTTGTATCCATTTGATGTGTTAAACCATTTTCAACTAATTTTTATAATTTGTTCTCATGTTGTACTGTTACACCACTGCCCCAGGTTCAGGGAGGGTTGGCGCCTTCAAATGAGTTAAGCCCCGTCACATGTTTTATGTCCCTGTCTCAAGTTAGGAGCCTGTTACTAGGTGGTTGTAGTTTTATGTTGTTTTTCATATTTGTTTGTCGTTTGTTGTATTGAATAGTTTGTCTTGCGTTGTGCTGTTACACCACTGTCCAAAGTTATGGGCAGGGTTGGCGCCATAAAACAAGTTTAACCCAGCCACATTCTGTATGTGCCTGTCTCAAGTCAGGAGCCTGTAATTCAGTGGTTGTCGTCTGTTGCTGTGTAACATATTTGTTTTTCGTTCATTTTTTTTGTACATAAATTAGGCCGTTATTTTTCATGGTTGAATTGTTAAAAATATGTCATTTCGGGGCCTTTTTTAGCTGACTATTTGCTCATTGTTGAAGGCCGTACGGTGAACTATAGTTGTTAATTTCTGGCACAGTGTCATTTGGTTTCTTGTGGAGAGTTGGCAATCACACCACATCTTCTTATTTATATAGCCAAGTGGATGCTTAACAGTG